CAGTGAAACTATACATCCCAGTAGCATGAGTCATGGTCAATCATTGGTGGAGTTCAGAGTGCTCTTAGACTGCAGGGGAACTATACATCCCAGTAGCTTGAGTCGCCTCTGGCTGAGAAAGGTCAATCATTGGTGGAGTTCAGAGTGCTCTTAGATTGCAGGGGAACTATACATCCCAGTAGCTTGAGTCGCCTCTGGCTGAGAAAGGTCAATCATTGGTGGAGTTCAGAGTGCTCTTAGATTGCAGGGGAAGTATACATCCCAGTAGCTTGAGTCGCCTCTGGCTGAGAAAGGTCAATCATTGGTGGAGTTCAGAGTGCTCTTAGATTGCAGGGGAAGTATACATCCCAGTAGCTTGAGTCGCCTCTGGCTGAGAAAGGTCAATCATTGGTGGAGTTCAGAGTGCTCTTAGATTGCAGGGGAAGTATACATCCCAGTAGCTTGAGTCGCCTCTGGCTGAGAAAGGTCAATCATTGGTGGAGTTCATAAATAACTAATAAATACCTACAACTCCTGTTAGGAATTGTGGGGGTTGAAATCCAAAACACTTGGACGGCCCAAGTTTTCCCAAGCCTGGACTAGACCTTCCAGATGTATCACAACTCCCATCAGCTCTATTCGTTCCTTAGACATCTTTCTTGGAAGGCCTTTTGGGCACGTTGTCCCGGCTAATGCAATTCTCCCCGATTATTCTTATTATTCCCCTTTCGCAAAATTAACGTTCCGCGCGAAGGACTTGGCGCCGCCGAGCGAAGTTGTCCTTCCAATAAAATAAGCATCTGACACGGAATTGACAGGTTGCGTAAGTTTAATACTTTTGGCAGCGGATCCCATCTCTTTTCTCTCTTGCCAACAAAGCGGAAAATTGCAGGCGGTGCACTAAAAACTCCAAAAAGAGCTGGAAGGTTGCCAACAGCAATGGCAAGTGGGAGCCGCCAGAGAGCATCACGAGCCACCGTTTAGGCGAATCGGTGATGGGGAGAGTAAGGGAGGGACATGCTGTAAGATAGCCGGACACTGGGACACTAGGGAGCAATGGAGGATGATTTATAGTTTTGAGGGTACAGTTATCTATATATATAAAAATGTTCTGTGCATAATTAGTACCTTAAAAACAAAAGAAC